CCCCCCCCCCAAACCCAGCACCGCATTGGAGCATCATCTTAGCCTGTGTGAGTTCAGCAGAGGGCTTGAACCCACAACCCTCTGACTCAGAGGCGAGAATGCTATGAACCGAGCCAAGCTGATACGCATTCTGGAGGCCTTGTAGCATTGTAGGATGTAATGCACTGGAGCCCCGCAGAAATAGCTCACGCCAAAAATATTCATCTATCAGAATAATACTAACACTCGAGAATATTAAGACGGCCTTCGATTGGAAGCAAAACCACAAATGCTTCTGTTCTCAGAAATCTTCATTAAAAAGTAAATAACCGTCTTATTTTTTATCCAGCTTTTATGAAATGTTGATTAAAAAATGACTCTCTAGGAGTTTTTGAGCGAGCCAAGACTCTGCGCTGGCTGGATTGTAGAGTCTGCCTGGGTTTCTTGGCCCCACTATATTTTCTCCTGTCTCCCCCCTTCGCTGGCCTCTTGTCACCATATCTCCTTATCCATCTGGAAGGAGCAGGGGAGATCGTGCCTGTCCGTGACTCCTGTCAACACCGTCCTGTGATCACACAGCGGCAGATAAGATGGTCGTCACCTAGTCCCTGTCCTCCTGCGATGGAACATCTCACCTCCACGTGACGTTCCTTATAGCAGCTTGACTAAGAACTGGGAAATGAAAGACGCTGGCTGATGTCCTTATGTTCAAGGGTGCTCTGATGCAACCCACTCAATTGCTCTGTCTTACTATTTATAATAATTGTAAATATTATTTTATTATCGTTAAATAATCCTTCCAACTTAAAAACTCTTTTTTATCACCGTTAGTTATCTGGTTTTGAACAATGCATGGATTGTAAATGCTACGCAAAACTGTACAGCAATTGATTAGGACCATTAATTAAAGTATAGTTATTTAAAACAATTTATTAATGAAAATACACTGTACAATACACTATACACATTTCCTCACATTGCAATTTTCACAAACCTTTACAACACATTTTAAAGTTTTACATTCATTAAGGTATGGATGGACAGTATAACTTTCAACCGAAGTACCTTAAACGCATCAAATCTGCCCGTGATGATAGAGACACGTTCGATGGGATGAGGATGATCATCTGCTATCTGTGGAACTGGCTTCACTGCATTTGCACTAAGGCAACAATCCAACACAAAGCTCTGTTATGTTAGGTCAGGGTATGAAGGAATAAGGGGCGATGACAGGTAATTGGAGTTGAGGTACAGATCAGCCATGATCTTATAGAATGGAGGAACAGGCTTGAGGGGTTGAATGGCCTCCTCCTGTTCCTGTGTTCCTATGATTTTTTCCCTATCGCTCTCACATAGGGATGTCACAGTGTGTTTCCTTGGAAGCTAAGATTTGGATGTCTTGATGCACAGGTCAATGGTTAGGTGGGTGGGACATATTCCAAGCAATCAAGATCATGTGGCATTTTGTGCTCAGCTATCACTTTAGACCAGTTTCCATTCAGGAACCTGAACTGATGCAGACTGATAGGACAGTTGCTCTGCGTGTCTGCAGAGAGACAGCGAAATGCTAATTTTCGCTTCTAGCAAATGCAGACAGACAGAGAGACAGAGAGACAGACAAATCCCACAGGTCAATTATCACAAACCTTACGTGAAAGCCAGGAATGCAAAGGCTGGGAGAGGCAGCACTTGCCAGATATCCGTGAGCAAACCGAGCCACACAGGCAGGCATCATTAGGGCTTGCACGAGTTTGGATAGGAGCCACATGGCAGTAAATTGCTGTTAGGCTCCCAAGATCGGTTCAGATAAAGAAGGTCCTTTGGCCCATCTGATCTCACCCTTCCAGAATACCCGCCTATCCTCCTCCCATCATAGCAACAAGCTTTATAAAAATAAACACAAATCCTGTTGGATATTTTTTACTGCCTTAAGAGTGGGGCCTTGTTGATGATAGCTTTTAGCGTCAAGCGGATAAACGTAACAGTCGTTTGCATAGAATCGAATAGAATTCCTTCCCGTCTTACTAAGGAGGGTGGAAAGTGCTTTTAAACAGACGGTCAAAACACTTGATTAGATTGGAACGGGAGGGAAAGTTTCAACGGCATTTCACGATTTAGCGCACAGAAAGCACAAGGCTACATATCTAATGTCATTTTTGTGAAGAGAAGGCCTGGTGCGGATCCCTGACTGTGCCGCGATTTGGGACGTCCTCCTGACGTGAAAGGCTGAACAAATGTCATTTGTTGTGGTTGTTTTGCACTCTCAAAGTTGTACCAGTTTCTTTTTTTCCCACCGCCCCCAAAGGTGGCATTGCTTGCCTTGTGCATCGCTGTGCGGTCTCGAAACAAATGAATTAAAATCCACGTTCCCACCACTTTATCTGTTTCTCAGTTTTTTCTTTAGTCAACATTACCGACGGTCAAATAAAATTTAAAATAAAGTTGCATATTGGATACGGACCAGGTGATGATGTTGCTTTGCTACCAATATATTCTGCGAAGCGCTTTAAGATGTCTCAACAATGCAATAAGGCTCTGTATCAAACGCAAGGACTATTATTATCGCCTACATTACAGGGATTAGTTTGGAGCCGCTGTGATCCGTTTGAGACGAGGCACGAAAATAGTCTGTTCGACCCTAGTCCGGGCCAGTGTTTTTACTCCACACAGGCCTTCTGTTTCCCCTCCCCCCTCATACATGCATCACGTTTACTCTTAAATACACTGTTAACCTGGGATCAAAGCTGCCAGCGATATCAGTGGACTGATTGGATCGAAAGCCCAGATACCAGTAAACTCCAAAGCAACGCTATTACCTGGGTTTTAACCTGGTTACATTTTAACATCCATTCGTGCCGTGTGCGTGAATCCAAATGATGTTTCTATCTCCGCTGAACTCGCTCACCCAGCTTTCTTTAAAAAAAAATGACCCTCTCTTGGAATTTATTTTCCGATCCATTGTGTGAGCCGGGAGTTATTTTTGATTTCTTTCATTTGGACTTTATTTATTTTTTTGGAGGGGGGGGGGGTTATTTCCTTTTGACGCCAGGAAAATCTGACCGATGGAAAAGAGGACGGCAGTGTCTAAAGACCCTGAACTGCAAGGGATGCAAATTGCGGCAAATGCGACAGAGATGGTTTAAACTAGCCGTCCAGGGAGTTCTTCAACAACCACAACAACAAATGACATCGGTATAAATCCTTTTATATCGGGAGGATGTCCCAAGGCGCTGGACAATCAGGGATTTGGACCCAAGCAGGGTATTGGGCTCAGGAGGGGTGGAAGGCAGGGAGGGTAGGAGTAGGAGGTCAATATCTACATAAGCACTGAGGAATTCAAGGTCTGCTAAGGGTTACAGAGCATCACAATATGCTTGCAATTAGAGCCCCAAATCTGCTGTTAATGCCTTCAATGCTGCCAAATGTTTCTTTGACGTGTAACCATCAATTAATCCTTGCTGATATTAGATGGCTTCCTTATCCTGTGGTTATCATGTGAAATGACTGCCCCTGACAGTGACGGATCTAGGTGACCCAAACACCTTTCCTTTCGGATACAGTGATTAATTGGTATCATTTAACATGTAATCGTTGCACTGTTGACATCCACTATTTATATTCTTATTGCTTTATTAATCCTGGCACAAGGGAGGGGGGGGGGGAGTGGGAAGAGGAAAAAGATCAGACGGCAGTTTATTAAACGTTATTCGCCCAAGTTCCTCTCCTTGTGCTCTGTGCCCCCCCTCACTGTAAATTTACGCCTGGGACGAAAGGGTGGAGGGATTCAGATAGGGGCAGGATGGGCGTCCTTTGTACCACATCTGCCTGGAGTTTTCCACGCAACAAAGAACGGGCAAAGGGAATGGGAAAACAATCCTAGTCTATCTGCGAGCACTGATTCCGTTTCAGTTGAAACCTAAGTTTTTTTTATTGTCGGGATGGGAGTCTGGTAACGTGGTGAAAGGCGAAGGGAAGACTTTGTTTGTTAACCTAAAAGCTATTGGGAATAGCTGTGGGTTATTATTAATATTAATAATAATAGTAATAATAAGTCCTTCCATTTGATACAGCGCCTATAACTTCCACACGTTCTCCATACTCTTCATGGGCGATTGCTGTCAAGTGTAGAGACTTTGCGTTTGTGTTACCTTATTGGATGGGCACTTTCTCCTGTGAGTAGACTGTCAAACCTCTGCCAAATGCACAGCACGAGATAATGTTTTAAGACTGGATCGCAAATACATCTGTGTTTGTGTTTCTTAGAGACATGGGGCATCATGATTTAACGCTAATGGGAGTCTTCAAGGTGGTGCAACTTGACCTATATCTAAAGTTGGGGTGAGGAGGATTGGGACATCCCAATGCTCAAATATAATGTGGAAGAGAGCCAACTCCATCAATATACCTTGAACAGAGGCATTTTGCATTAATCGACTCTGTGTTACCAAATAAAATAAAATAAACCGAAACAAATGTGCTTTCTGGGCCTTTCGTTCTCGTATGGTAATATTTTATATCTGGAGAATAAACCCCCCCCCAAATTATATTCTTAACCACAACAACATCCAAAGGATACATGGTGAAAATACAGCACCGTTTCTGTACATTTAAGAATGGTCATTTCCTTGTTTTAATTATTTGTATTTCTTTATATTAAAAGAAGTTAATATACATATGTAAATTATATAACGTTCACTTATGGCACTTTCAAAGTCTCAGGCTTTCGTGGGGGGGAAGAGAGGGGAGGGGAGAGCGGGGGTGGGGGCGGGGGAAATGACGACACTCAAAGACTGCTTTGCATGTGGCTTCCTTATCATTTTCCCAAGTCTCTTAAAATAAAATAACTCCCCAACAAAAGCTTTCAATCACTACATAAATTAAGTAAAATGTTCGACTGTGGGTCTTACCTACATATAACCAACTGAGCATTTCTCTCATTGTAAAATAAATACAATTTCCGATCAAAGTAATATACAATAATAATAATTGCCAAAGCAGTAACAATGTGAAGCCTTTTTTTTTTACAAAAAAATCTCTCAATTCTATGAAAAAAAACAAATGTAATATTTTCGCAAAACGTGCGGTGAGGTTACAATGCAGTGAATGGAAAGGAGATCGGAATCAAAGTTGTAGCAAGCAAGTTTCTCCTTGCTGAAATTTGTACCATTCAGTTTGTACGTCGATCGGTATTAATATACATCTCTCCTTCTCATTCAGTGCATTTTACCCACTGCCATCTTGTCCTCGTGACATACAATTGCAGATTAAACTGTGTTTCTGGTGTTACAAACGAGCCTTACTCTTTGTTAAAAAAAAATACGATTTGGTGGGGTGACCTTAATGCAAACCCGAGACTGAGCAACAGGAGGTGGGATCCGGACTGAATTAACATCGGGGGTGTGAGAAGGGATCTGAAACAGATCAGAAACAGCCTAAGACAGAACTGAGTTTAGTTCCTGTGAGGGATAAATTGAATCTGCCCCATTGCCTATGTTTAAAATTGCCCCATTCCCACCTCTCCTCTGTTCTTCCAGGATACACCGATGTTATTTTCCATCAGTTACATTGAAATAGCTGATAATGAATATTGTCCCTAAATTCAACCTACGCTTAAAAACTAACCAGAAACCTCACCAGATTTTAAACACAGTGTGCTTTAAACTTGTTTTGAACTTGAAAAATTGGATTAAAGGCATCAATTCTGCATCTTTTGAACTCCATCTACACCCACTCCTTATCGCAATGTAATTTGCAGTAATTCTTAACCCATTTCTTATAAGCAACGTGTAAATGACTGAATTTCTAAAGCCCCGTCAGGGTGCATTGTTCCAGAGTGCTTTCGTTGTTCTACAAATGCGTCGGTTTAAGAAATCCATTAAGAAACAGCGCAGAATTAAGACCCTGTACAAGCCACAATACTCAACACCCAAAAGATACCTTCAGCTTTATAATGACCGAAAGTAACGTCGTTTGAATTTCTAATGATTAGTTTACCGAAAGGAGAATGAATATATTATTGCCTTCGCGATTTATTTTTTAGCGTATCCAAGATGGGCAACAGAGATTGAAAAAAGGTAAAGCAGCAAGTATTTTGTTTTCAAGTATATTTTTTTTTGCCAAACGTCAATTAGGTCTGGTCTTATAACTCTCTCTGCTCGTTTCACATTCTCTAATGCACCCCAGCACCTTGGGAACGCCCTCCCGACGTCGAAAGGCGCTTACACGAACGTAAATCGGTTGTTGGATTGTAACTCCGGACGCAGGTGGCTGTGCCTTTCACCCGGGCACCCAGCTGTGGCTGGTAGCGTGTGGCGCGGGGGGTCGGGCGCTCACGGTGAGGGCAACGTTCTGCGTTGGCACCGCGCAGTCAAAGTTAAAGTCCAGCTCGTCGCTGTCCATGAACTCGTTGAGAATGATCGACTCCACGTCGCACTCCAGGGTGCCGTGGAACATGTCTAGGTCCAGGTCGGCGGGGAACTTATCTTGGCTCCCGACGGAGATGTGGATGCCCCCCTGGCAGGAGTTCAGCCTGAAGTCCGGGACCCCCACATGCACCCCGTGACTGACGAGGGTGTGTAGGTGGTGCTGGTGAGGGTGGGGGTGGGCGTGCGGGTGGGGGTGGGCGTGCGGATGCGCAACCACGGAGCTGACGGTCCCCGTGTCCGAGGGCAGGCCCATAAGGCTGATGGAATTGGTTAAGGCACCGTTGCTGACAGCCGGGTTCTGCTGCACTGGCGACGGATGGTGAAACGGGCTGCCGTTCATCAACCGGGGTGAGCGGACGTTGAAGGGCGACAGGCCGGGCTCCGCGCACATGGCCAGGTTCGACCTCTGGCTCTGGGACGGTGCCGAGGCTCCGGCCTGAGGCATCAGAGGGTCCGCCTGTGTCATCATGACCTCCTTGTGCCGCAGCGACTCGGGTGTCAACAGGTCCTGCAGCATGCGGTTGCCGTAGTGGTTGACGGTCGAGAACGTGACGGGTTTGTTCTCCTGAATAGTCTGCATGGGCGCGTGGCGGAGCAGGGTCATGGCCGGTGGGCTGTACATGGTCGCGCTGTAGGCACTGGTCTGGCTGCCCAGCGCCGAGCACTTGGATCCGAACGAGAAGCTGGAACTCCTCTGCCTCAGGCACCCCGTGGGGATGGGCTGAGCCGGGCTCCCGTTGTAACCGTCCTGCAGGTCCTCGAGGAGGGTCTCGGTCAACCCCTCATTCAGGTTAATGGTGCCCGCCAGGTCGGCCAGCCTGGGGAGCTCCACCGAACACCGGCTGTTCACGGAGGGCGAGAGGGCGCTGGAGGGGCTGGAGTACAGCAACGGGGACGACGGGGGCCCCTCCGGGTCCTCCAGGTCGTCCAGCTCGGAGTTGGCCATGATGGGGGACAGGCGGCCGCTCAGAGTGCTGGCCGCAGAGTTGGCGCGCGATCGGAAGTCACTCCACGCGTCGAACTCGTCGCTGGCGTGGGAGGCGGGGCTGCCCGACCACTTGGTGTGCTGCGACGAGGGGCTGCCCTCGCTGCCCTCCTGTGCCGCCTGCAGGGCGGCCTTCTTCTTGCTCGCCCGCCCCTTGCTCTTCAGGTACTTGGAGCTGTTGTCCATGGACACCGCCCGCCTGCGCGGAGATTTCCCCGTCTTGCCCCCGTCGGGGTTCAGCATCCACCACGAGCTCTTGCCCGTGCCCTCGTTCTGGACGCGGATGAACCTGCTGTGCAGGGACAGGTTGTGCCTTATCGAGTTCTGTAGGAACGAAGAGGAGAGGCGTGAGCGACAAGCCACCGAGCGACCGACGGGTAAATGAAACACTTCGCACAACGCCACGACCCACCATGGCCTTTGAAGTCGGCGACCAATTTTATCTGCAGGGGATCGATGGCCACAACACCGGGAGAGAGAACCTCCCTTCTCTTTTCTAATGGGGGTCACAGGATTTTTTTACCGTCACCTCAACAGGCGCAGACATGATCACAGTCTGACCTCTCATCCAAAGGATGTCACTTCGTACAATGCAGCCCCCACCAACCGCCACCACCCCCCCCACACCCCCACACAACACTGCACTGGAATTCCAGCCTCGACTGTGAGCTCAAAAACCCAGGGCAGGGCTTGAACCCCTCAGTCTTCTGACCCAGATAATTATTTCATATCATGATCGCTCACACTATCACGGGCACAGTTCAGCACTGGCGTGCTCGCAGAAGGGAGTCTTTCCGAGGGCCATTTTTAAGACGAAACGGGCTGATACGACTGGGCTAAGGGTCTTGGCGAGTGTGCAAATACCGGTACATTAACACATCGGGTAAGTGAAGTGTTCATAAAAGGCATCGATGAGCTCCTGAACCAAAATGTCACAGGTTCTAAGAACTGGAAAGCACACCCTGTATATTTATACTGGGGCTGCAATATCTGTTTGAAACTAAATTGATCACCATCCCTTCAGTTATTTCAATGGGCTGATGCTCATCAGGTGCTATTTCAGTCTCTCACTAGTGTGTCCTCGCTGTCCATTATTACTTTTGGGATGAAGAGCCTTAGTAAGCCTTCAGGGGGTAGGCACTGCACGTCTCTTAACACACTGCTTTCCACTAAGGTTTGCTTTGATGCTCGCTGCTGAGGGAGATTGACAGATTAAGGTGATGCCATTTGACTCTATTTGGGAGATTAGCGGGGGCGGAGGGGGACACGGAGGAGGAGGAGGTGGGTATGGAAGTCACGTGACCCAGTTCTAAATATCGCTTTGATTTCCGTATCCCGTTACAGGTTCATAACTTCCAGATTTAGAAAATCAAAGCTCGACAGAACATGGCAACGGCAAAGCAGATGATAATTTCACGCCCGACTTTAACAATCGCTGAATTGGCGAAATGACATTGAAAGATCGGGCCTCTCTTATCAGTTTAATTGCATTTCCAAAACAAAAAACAATAATAAATTGGTCATTTTCAATCTACGACTGTTTGTGGGACATTGCTGTGCGCAATTGGCTGCCGCGTTCGCCCACAAATATACAGTCAATTCACTTTACAGTCTATTCTGTGAAGAGGAGTGGTCTTGATTTTCAGGCATTTCCCATTGAGTCATTTGGTACCTCACCCAAGTGGTTACTCTTCACCTTAGACTAACAAACTTCATTGAACAACTCATCCAAAGGACAGTATCTCTAATGATGTACCATCGTTGGGAGTTTCATAATGGACTATGAGCTCAAGTCACAAAGTGGGGCTTGAACCCACAATCTTCTGACCCAGAGGCAGAGAGCGCTAGCAACTGAGCTCCCGATGCCCTTGTTCAATCCCAGAACCAGATGGGTTTGTATTTATGTATGTATTTATTTATCTATTTCCCAAGGAAAGCTCAATAGCATTAGGGCAATCAAAAGGAATCTCAATTCTCTGTAGGAAGTACACAAGCAGATAATTTTCCCGTTGCCTAGACTACAGTCCGACACTGTCAAAATAATTCTTGCCGTATTCGAGAAGAAAATGTAAGGAAAAATAGTGTGTGAGTTGCGCTCGTTTGCTGTGGAAAATAATGACTGCCAACAAGCTTCTCATGTAGACTACAGTGTCTGTTATGAATAAATAAATTATCCCCTACATTTGATAGTAATAAGAAAATAATATCTAATAATCCTTGAATTTGATATCGCGCCTTTCACCCCGGGAAGACATCTCAAAGCGCTTTGCAGGATTTATTGTAAAACGTAGCAACTGCGTATTTTGTAAGCAGACAATTTGTGTACAGCAATGTCCCACAAAACAGCCACGTTGACTAATTCTATCTGGGAGATTGTCGGCCAGGATACCAGGAGAGAGAAACTCCCTTCTCTTTTGACGAGTGCCACGGGATCTTTAATGTCCACCTGAACAGGCACAGATGGACAGTTTAATGTCTCACCCGAAGGACGGTGACTCAGACAGTGCAGCGCTCCGCCTCCCCCCCCCACCCCACAGCATGCACTGCCCGGATTAGAACATCACAGCGTGTGTCATCGAAATGTCTCAATGGCGCTTCCCGGGGTTTACAGCAAAGCGGGGTGACTGCGTACTTGTCAAAGTGGACGTACTCTAAAGTGAACCCAAGGGCTTTGATTCCATAAAATTTTCAGGGTGATCCAACCGCCCACCTCCTCTCCCTCTATTTCACCTGACCCACCCGCTCCCTCCGTCACCCTCAAAGGTTATGTTACGTTATGATTCTGGAAAGAAAACACAAAAGTATTGCCTATGCAGCCCACGGACGTTTCTCAAACCGGCAGCCAAAAGGTTGGAACCACCCCCACCACCGACCACCCCCGACCACCCCCGACCACTCTAAATGAATTGCTAATCTATCCCCCAAAAAAGCCCCCAAAATCTCGAAACTCTTGGAACTTTTATTTTCACTTGAAACGCTGGTTGCCTTGATGCCAGCTGCGCTGCTCATCTGTTGGGGGTGAAGAGTTCAGTGCAAAGCTCTGGGTACGAACACTGTTGACTCAGGAATGACATTCCCATCACAATAGCCTCTCGTTGGCCAAAAGTCTCTATTATATATACAGCTACAGCTGAGACGTTGGTGGTGGTGGGTGGTGGGGGGGGGGTGGGTGGATGGGATGGGGGGGGGGGGTGGGGGGGGGAGTTGATTCCAACGTAATTATGTGTTGCGGTTAGCGCCTGATTCTCCGGTCCGACCGCCTGCATCAATCTCCTCCCGTCTCCTCGCATTATCCCTTCACCTGGTGCCATCGCTCGGTGGAGTGGCTCAATTATTGCAGCGGGGAAGCGGAGGGCGTTTTGACGTTCAAATTGAAGGTGTGCAAATTCGGGATCCTGAACTCTGCAGCGCTGGGTTTTAATTAGACGTATTGTCAGAACACAAGGCAACGTGTCATTAGCATCTGTTTAAAGATCCACGCGCCTGAGCAGCAAAGAACGAGGGTGAAATAAATAGGACGTGGAAATGGAACGCAGGTGCCTAGATTACCTCTTGCTTTCAAATCCGGCTCCTCTGAGCCATTGAAAAGCCCACCCACCGCCCCCCACCCCTCCCTCCTCAACCCACCCACTCACCCACCCACCCCGTCTCCCTCTCTTTACGGAACGAGATGTCCCACAGCCCGTCCGCTCCACCGAGCTTTCAGCCACTACGCCCTGACACTCTGGGTCTCTCAGCCTCAATTCCCCCTGCCTCGCCCCCCCCTTCCTCGCTCAGCTTCACCCGAAGACCTTCCTCTTCGACCGTGCCTCCAGTCACCGCCCCCCCCATCTCCTGCTCGGCGTTAAGCTCCCCCACTGTTAAGCGCTCCAAGACCCTACCCCGCATGAAGGGCACTGAATAAATTACAAGTCGTTGTTGCTGTAATAAGTCTATTGCTCACAGCTATTCAGTGTCACTGAGATACCGAGAAAGCAGTGTCAGATTTAATACTGTCAGTCAGGCAAGACAAGGTGACGAATGACATTTTCTGCCACGTGTTACAGAAGGGACATGGTGGCATGTTTAGTCTTGTGTTCACCTCGGAAATATCCGTGGGCTTTGAAATGCAAACACTCTGTGTGTGTGTGTGTGTAATGGAGGGGGGGTGGTGTTTAGTGGATGTGTGTGTCTGTGCCTGACAGATTTCAGCCTCTGGATGATTATTACCCACTGCAATAATCCAGACAAACACTGTAACACCATAACTTTTCATGTAATGAACCTTTCCTGATATCTCCTCTTACATTCCATATATGAACGTTAATTAAGCAGCCCTCGCTAATGATTCCTGCACCGAGTCATTTTTCATTTCTTTACAGCCAATTTCCTATGTTCTTTCCGTTGTCATTAAAAAAGATGATCAGTCTGTGATCTCTGACTGACGATGAGCATTCCTTGCCAACGGCAACGTTAACAACACCCCCCCCCCCCTTCTCTCTTCCCCCTCCCCTCGTTTGTGTACTGCGTGTGGGAGGGAGGGAACTAGAGAGCGAGGAGTCTTTGTCGAGTCTTTATCCGTACTGTAACACAGTGCTGCCTTGTTTCAGAACAACAGCTGGACACTGAGAGGTCTGAAATTCCACTGGCCTGAGCCCGTTTTGTCCCAAGATTTAAGGTCGCCCCAAAAAACAGGGAATATTCCTAAAACTCGCTGCTAATTTGGGATTTCTTCTTGCGAAAAAGCACCCTTCTGAATTAGCGCTGGGTTTAAGAATTACTCATTTTGTTTCCAGCCACAAAATGGTGTTGCGCACTAAAACTAGGTAGGATTTGGGGCTCCAAATATAACTCCCAAACTCACGGGAGGTGGCTCTCACGCATTCATGTACAGGCTATCGGATATGACTGGAGATTTACGTAGATTTATATAGACTGTACAGCACAGAAACAGGCCTTATCGAATACTGACCTGCTAACCTAGCCCTTATCATTCTTGAGTCATGATACCTGTGAGTGAAAAAACCCCAATCTTACCCCACTCCCCTCGTTTTAACCACAAATCTAAAGAAATCTAAATGTTTTGTGTTCAGTGTTCGCCACAATAGGGAAGTGTTGACTTGGGGTGAGAAGGATGGAATTTTAGCCCTACTCCCTTCAAAATAGCATCTTATAACCGGGTTCCACTGTATCTTCAGAAATACAGATGCGCGAGATTAGTAATGGCGATATATTCAATGCAAAGTCCTATAGCGTACTAGTTAGAGCACTCGCCTCGCAAGTGAGAGGACTCTGATTTGATTCCCGGGCAGGGCGAAACCTTCGGGTGGTTTCCTTAATCCACG